TATAACTCATCACAGTCCTAAATGGCTTCCTCTGTATCCTCAGATTGTGACCCCTGGTTCTAAACTCCCCTGCCTCTGGGAACATCCTTCTTGCATCTACTGTCTAGTCTTGTCAGAATTTTATAGGTTTCTATGAGATCACCCTCATTCTGAATTCCAGTGAATATAATCCTAACAGATTCAACCTCTCCTCATACGTTAGTCGTGCTATCCCAGGAATCAGCCTGATAAACATCTGCTTCACGCAAAACCCTCTATAGCAAGATCATCCTTCCTCAGGCAAGGCATCCAAAACGGTAAATAATATTCCAGGTGTGGTTTCACCAAGGGTCTGTATATTTGTTGCAAGATATCCCTGCTCTTGCACTCAAATCATCTTGCAAGAAAGGTGTTGGACCAGTCACATGGTCTAACAATAGGTCAAAAAGATTGGCGAAGAGGGGCGTCATAAGAATTGCTGACATAACTAATCACAAAGACTGCTGATACAGGCAGGAGACAAGGAGGAAGCACCTGGCCTTGACTCATACGTCCAAAGTAAACATTAAGTAATGACGGAAGTCAGCCCACCAGGTCATTGCCAGGTCGCTGCATCAAATCCAGCCAATTATGAACAGACACATCTGGATGATGTGGTCAGCCATGCTAAAGATAATATAAATATCAGCAATGTTCAGAAATTGAACAGTGTAAACTCTGGAGATCAACCTATATTAGTCAGAGACTTTTTCCCAGGACGGAAATGACTATTACAAGGGGGCATAATTTTAAGGTGACTGGAGGAAAGTATAAGGGAGAAGTCAGAGGTAGGTTCTTTGCACAGAGAGTAGTAGGTGCGTGGAATGTGCTGCCGGCAATGGTAGTGGAGTCAGATAATTTAGAGACTTTTAAGCGACTCTTGGAAAGGCACATGGAAGATAGTAAAATGTAGGGTATGCAGGGTAGTTTGATCTTAGTAGGATAATAGGTCAGCACAACATCATGGGCCGAAGGGCCTGTACCGTGCTGTACTATTCTGTTCTATGTTCTATATGTCAAGAGGTGTGTCCTTCGAATGAGATGAAGTGACAGAACCATCCAAAATGATCAGTGACTGGCCAGCAATGTCCTTCCTCAGTAGTGGGGAGCAGATTTGGGAAGTGCTATTTAAAGTTCTAAACTCAAAGTTCAGTGGTGCTAGTGTTATTACCAATATCCACAAGACCCTCCAGGGTTGGTCATTTAACAAAGGCCAGTCTTTACCACCTGCTGCACCTTCATGCTCACTTTCAGTGACTGGTATACAAGGACCCCCAGGTCTTGTTCCACATTCCCCTCACTCAATTTATAGCCATTTAGATAGTAATGCACTTTCCTATTTTTGCTACCAAAATGAATAACTTCACATTCATCCACATTATATTGCATGTGCCATACTGAAGTCAAGGCTGTAGCTTGGGCAGTAGGCTTTGCCAATATAACTGGCTTCTCCTAGGTACAGGGTGCCAACAGTGCCGAATCATAACCTGCAACCACTTCCATCTGGAAGGACAGGGCAGCAGACATATAGGAACACCACCACCTTCAAGCTCCCCTCCAAGCCACTCACCACCCTGACTTGGAAATACATGACTGTTCCTTCCCTGTCACTTGGTCAAAATCCTAGAATTTCCTCCCTAATGGCACCGTAGGTTAACTCATAGCAGGTGGGCTGCAGCAGTTCAAGGAGGCAGCTCACCACCACCTTCTCAAGGGCAGCTAGGGACTGGCAATAAATGCCAGCCAGCCAGCAACGTTCACAAATGAATACTCACTCCCATGTACCCATTGATGCCCCGAGTTCATTTGCCTTACCTGTTAGGCCTCTTGCATTGAAATAAATGCAGCTTAACCCAGACCTCCCTTACTTCCTGCCATGCTCTTGCCTGCCCTGTCCAGTACTAAAATTACCAACACTGCCTTTATTATTTAACCTGCTGTCATTAATTTCTATCCTGTCCTCAACATTCTCTTTCTATCTCTACTGCTTGGAGACCATCCCCTGCTAGAAAAGCGACATGTTCCCACTGACACAAGGAAAAGAACTGTACTCCTCTGTCAAATCCTAAGTGACATCAGGCAGATCAATGTTTTGGAACGCCCTACTTCAGAATTGCAATGCTGTCTCGTTGCACTTGAGCCATTCCTGATTCTAAATGTCTGCTGAAACGTTCTGTGCAGCATTTCCACCTGTCAATTTTGCTAAAACAGAAACAGGACATTTTGGATGGAAACCATGTTTGCATTATTTGTGCAGAAAAGACAGAAGTTTTTGTATCCTTGAATTCTTGATCAAAACTGAAGATCACACTGGTGAGCAAAGTTCCAAAAGGAGCAAAGAGGAGGAGCTGGAAAAGCAAATGCAAAACAATGTGGCTTGTAAAATGCTTGAGGAAAGAACAGGAAATGCATAAAAGGCACAATGAGTAGATCAGTACAATAAAAAAAGGTAAAATAGGTAAAATCACCACAGTCCTACCAGGCCATAGACTGCTGTCACCACAGGGACAACTGGGGGTGGTTTAATCTGAGTGACACCACACCTCAGGTGAAGGGAAGAGTTGAGAAGGGGAGTCCTCTATGGTAACATCAGCCAGCGCAGGAATTAAACTCACACTGTTGGCTTCAATCTGCATTGCAAACTGGTTGTCAGCCAACTGAGTTAACCAACCTCTAGATCTATACAATAAAAGTTGTACTGAGGAAGGTACACGTTGTGCAATTTCTTTTTGCTTTCCTATTTACCTGCCTGTCCTCTTTCCCTTTAGCTACTCATCCAAACTGTCTCAGACATTATTTTATATTTCATTTTTTTTTCTCCCCCTCTATGCTTATTATCTTCTGTTAATATCACTTATGTTAGTTAACTATTTCCTTTACAGATCATTCTACCACTAAAATTAGGTAGGCATTGTAACATACATAGGAGAAGAAAGTTGCAAGGGGATATTCAAGTTAAGTGAATGAAAATTTTATAGTTGATAGTTCACCAGGCTGATCCTGGATTTTCTTATGAGAAGAGGTTGAGTGGGCTGGTCTTGTACTAATTGGAGTTTACAGGAATGAGAGGAGGCTTTATTGAAATATATAAGATTCTTAGAGGAGCTGACAGGCTGGGTGTGGAGAGATGGACTGTTCCACAAGGGGATGCAAAGTCCAGAAGGGTATACTCTCAGAGTAATGATTTTCTCTGGAGGAATTTTGGAATTCTTCACTACAGAGGGCTGTAGAGGTTGAATCATTTAAGTACATTAAGATTGACAAACTTTTAAGTCAGTAAGGGAACCAAGGGTTATGGGGATAAAGCAGGAAAATGGAATTGAGGATTATCAAATCAGCCATCTCACCGAATGGCACAGTGGATTCAATAAGCTGAATGGCCTACTACAGCTCTTACATTTTATGTTCCAAAATTGTATGGTGCTAAGGGTAACTTCTGTAGCTTGTTGCCTGGTTTTACAGCTAAAATGACAGTTGACCAGACACATGACAATTTAAAGTGCAAATATATTTAAGTATGTGGTACTGTATTTACAATAATGCATCACCCAAGCCACATGTGTGCCCTCAGAAGCTTATCTTCCCTGTCCCTGCACTACATCCATAAACAGTTGCAGGATTCCCAGCTTGGATAGATGGAGTCTGCGCAGTGGTGAAGCCTAAAACAAACACAGAAAATGCTGAAGAAATTCAGCAAGTCTGGCAGCATCTGTGGAGAGAGAAAGAGTTAATGTTTTGAATCTGATTTTTCTTCAGAACCCTCAGTTCATATAAAACCTGAAACATCAACTCATTTTCTCTCTCCACAGATGCAGCAAGACCTGCTGAGTTTCTCCAGTGTTTTCTGTTTTTGCTTCAGATTTCCAGCATCTATAATATTTCACTTTTTTTAATACAGTGGAGCCTGTTGACCTTGGAGCTTTGGGTAGATGACTCCAGTGGTGTTGAGGCTAGAGGGTCCTGGGATGCTGAGTCTCCTGCCCACATGTAGGCTTACCTTCCACAGTTTCAAATTCCAAAGTGTTGGGTGTTGCAGGTAAAGTGCAGGTGAGGGTGATAGGCATCTCTGGAGTATCCTGAAAAAATGAGTTCTGGGGGATCCTCTATGCTTCAATTCCTCCGTTGGGTGCCTGATAATACCACATTGCCTTGACAAGAAGGGTCACTCAGAGAGAGATTAAGGTCTATCAACCCCCTCTTGCCATTAATGCGGAGCACCAGTGGCTAAATCGATGGACGCAGGTCTGCATATCTTTCTGGTAGCCACTGAGTATTCTGCTTGACCTGCTTTTCAAGGCAGTCACCAACCTGCCGAGCAAGACTACCAGATGTACACATGCCAAAGCCAAAATGGTACTGAAATGTTGCCAGATTCCTCAAACCTTCAATCAAATTTACTGAATGGTCCTGACAAACTTGCATATTTCTCCTTTGTCTGTGCAATTTCACAAAGTTAATAGTGGCTGATACCATGACGGGGTCAATCCCAACTGTACTCATTCGTGCCAGGTGCAGAAAGAATTGTCAATCACAAATCAGCCTCTCCAACCACACCTGATAACGTTCAATGCAGAAGTAAAATACTTCCTAAGTACTGTCCATCCTCTCACAAGATGGACAGATGCTATCAATGATAAATATGGTCACCTAGAGTTCCTGCTTTAAAACCAGCAGTAATATCTTTAATTCCTATTGTACTGAAAATTGTATTCAATAAAATATAAAAATTTGTTTGCCATTTTGTTGTAAAGACTGTATTTGCTCACTACCATCCTTCAGGGTCTGTCCCACCATGACTCAAGGCATGCACTAAAAGTTGCCCCCTAATGCCATCAGCATCACCATTTTAAAAATGTGAAGTAGAAGCTAGAGGTAAATATAAACGAATTAAGTTTTTTTCTATAATCTTTAATGTAAGCTATTAAACAGGTTACACATGCACATCAGTCATGTTCTAATTTTAACTTATAATTAAGTTTTACCTATTCCTGGTGGGTCAGATTCTTGGTATATATATATAAGTGATTTTCTGCCTCCTTTCGAAAAGAAATCATCATAAGGTTGAAGCTGTCAACAGAAGTATGAGATTAATTTATTATTCAAGTGACAATTATATTTCAAATAAGCAGATTTACTAAGTAAAAGGCAAATACTTCACACATTGTAATGCTAATATAAGAACAAGGTGCTGGAAAACCTCAATAACTCCATATGGAGAGAGAAACAGAATTAACATTTTGAGCTCAAGCCTAGTCTCATAACAACCATATAACCACTTAATTATTCAACCACTGTTGTTTGGTTCAATAATATCTTTTAGAGAAGTAAGCCCACCATCCTTACTTGATCCAGCCTGTAAGAGACTTCAGACCCACATTATAAACCCAAGCTGCTGGGAAATGCCCAGCTCCAACATGGCATAGAGCTCTGTACATAGCTTGGAATGAATACTCACTTCCACCTGCACACTTTTGTCACTATAAGACCATAAGAAATAGAAGCAGAATTAGGTTATTCAGTCCACTGAATGGTGGAGCACACAATCATGACTGATATGCTTCTCAATCCCATTCTCCTGACATCTCCCCGCCACCCCCCATAAATTCTTGATCGGTGAAGGGATCAAAGGTTATCTCTATCTTAAATACACTCAATGACTTAGTCTCCACAGCCTTCTGTTGCAATGACTTGCAATGATTAAGCACCCTCTGGCTGAAGAAATTCCTCTTCATCTCAGTATAAAGGGTTGACCCTTTCCAAGAGGAATACAGCACAGAAAGAGACCCTTCAGTCCAACTAGTCCATGCCGAACATAATCCCAAACTAAACTAGTCCCACCTGCCTGCTCCTGGCCCATATCCCTCCAAACCTTTTATTCATATGTCCATCCAAATGTTTTTTAAATGTTGTATGTCCTCAGGTTCTAGTCTCTCCTACTAGTAGAAACATCTTGTCCACACCCACTCTATCCAGGTCTCTCAGTGTTCTGTAAGTTTCAATTCATCCTCCTAAACGCCATCAAGTACAGACCCAGAATCCTCAGTTGCTCATATTAACAAGCCCTTCATCCCAGGATCATTCTTGTAAACCTCCTCTGGACATCCCCAAACCAGCACACCTTTCCACAGATACGGGGCCCTTTGAGGGAAATACTTGCCTCGCACATCTCTTAAATATCCCAGCCCTACCCCCGCACCTGTGCCCCACCGTGATTGACCCCTCTACCCTGGGAAAAAGCCTGATAGATTCCACTCTATCCATGCTATTCACAATCGTATAAAATTATATCAGCTTGCCCCTCAACGTCCTGCAAAACCAGTATATCCAACCTTTCTTCATAGCTAATATCCCCTGTACCAGAAAACATCCTGGTAAACCTTTTCTTTACCTTCTCTAAAGCATCCACATCCTTCTGGTAGTGTGGTGAAGAACTATACGCAATATTCCAAGTGTGGCCTAAATGAAGTTCTATAAAGCTGCAGCATAACTTGCCTATCCTTGTACTCAATGCCCCTTCTAATGAAGGAAGCATGCCATAAGACTTTTTTCCCCCACTACCTTATCTAACTGCGTTGCCACCTTCAATGATCTGTGGATCTACACACCCAGACCCCTCCGCATATGAATATCCTAAGGTTTCTGCCATTCACCATATAATTTCCACCTGCAATTGACCTTCCAAAATGCATTACTTCACATTTTTCTAGATTAAACTTCACCTGCCATTTTTCAGCCTATGCCTCCAACTGATCTATATCCTGCTGTATCCTCTGACAATCCTTCTCACTATCCGCAACTCTAATCTTTGTATCGTTCACAAACTTACTAATTAGACCAGCCAACACTTCCTCCAAATCATTTATGTAGACCACGAACAGCAGAGGTCCCAGCACTAATCCCTGTGGAATGCCACTAGTCATAACCCTCCATTCTGAAAAGCATCCTTCCATCCCCTATGACTAAGCCAATTCTACATTCATCTTGCCAGCTCAACCCTGATTCCATGTGACTTCACCTTTTGTACCCTGATGTCCAGGTATCATTCTTGTAAACCATCTCTAGATCATCTGTGACCCCAGTGGAACTCTGCTAGTCACTGGGTGCCATCCTCAAAAAGGCCTTGTTGTCCTCACTCCCTGCTTTCTGCCAGTCAATCCTCTCTCCATGTCAGTACCTTGTTCCTAATACCATGGGCTCTTAATCTTATTTAGCAGTTCCTAGGAGGCAACTTGCCAAAAGGCCTTCAGGAAATCCAAATAGATCATGTCCACTGGCTCTCCTTTGTCTAACTTGCTTATTACCTCTTCAAAGAATTCTAAGATTTTTCAGGCATGATCCCTCTTGATGAAGCAGTGCTGACTCAGCCCTATTTGACCATGCGTCTCCAAATACTCTGCAATCTCATCCTTAACAATGGACCCTTAAATTCTTATCAATGAGAGGGGTCAGGGTAACCTGCCTCCTCCAGAGGTCCCCAGAATCACAGATAACAGTATTCAGCCAATTTGATTCACTCCATGTAATATTAAGAAACTGTTAGAAGCACTGGATACTGCAAAGGCAATGAGCCCTGACAATATTTCAGCAATACCACTGAAGACTTGGGCTCCAGAACTTGCCACTCCCAGGTCAAACTCTTCCAGTACAGTTACAACGCTGGTATCTACCAATGTACAACTTGCCCAGATAATTCGGTACACAAAAATCAGGACAAATCCAAACCAGCCAATTTATGATGAATATGACTGAGTTATTATTGCCTCAAATACTGAAGCAGTCCACGTCCAAATGTAACAAGCCTGGACAATATCCAGGCATGGGCTGAAAACCAACAAATAACATTTCTACCACACAAATGCCAGGCAATGACCATCTCCGATAAAAGACAATCTAACCACAGCCCTTGACATTCAATGGCACTGCCATCACAGAATCCCCACTACCAACATCCTGGGGTTATCACTGACCAGAAACTATACTGGATTCAAACTGGGCTGGCCTGGAGGAATCCAAATTGGGCATTATTGCGAGGTAATTGTTGAGTAAGTGCTGCTTGATAGCACTGTCGATGACACTTTACATCACTGATGATCAAAACTGGAATGATGTTTCACTTTTTTTTAAAATATAGATTATCTCGGTCATCATCCACTACTCTTACCATCTGTCATGCTTGTTCCTGCTTATATTCTTGCCTATGATAATACCTTTTCAGCATTATTATATGACATAACTGACTTTTCTTTCTATGACCAGGAGTTTCGATTGGATGTGTCACTTTACTAACCCTACTTACTACATTACATGAATGACTGAATTTCATTTTTAGAAATTCACTTCAATGGCTAGAATGCCAATACTTCATCCCCTCTTGAAACATTCTAGTTGCTGAATGTTTATCTGCCTATTCTGTCTTTGTCAGTTGTGAAACTGTTGCTGCGTTACATGTTCCTTGGAGTCCTTCTAGAAACATAGACACGTACTCCACTTATTCAGGAACCAATCATTGCAAGTGGCAGATGTGGGGAGAAAGCATACAGTTCCTAAAGCATACAGTGTCCTCAACTTTACTAATAAACAGCATAGTGTACAATAGCAAGGAAGGTGATATTGAACTTCTATAAGACACCTTGTAGACCTCAGCTGGAGCATAATGTACAATTGTGGTCGTCACATTATAAGGAAGACGTGGATGTATTGGCCAGAGTGCAGAATTTATGGGGTAGGCAATGGCCTAGTGGTATTAATCGCTAGACTAGTCATCCAGAAACCGAACTAATGTTCTGGGGACCCGTGTCTGAATCTCACCATGGCTGATGGTGGAATTTGAATTCAATAATTAGGAAAAAAAAAAGAAAGAGTCTGGAATTAAGAAGCTACTGATCACCATGAAATCATTGTTGATTGTTGGAAAACCCATCTGGTTCACTAATGTCCTTCAGGGGAGGAAATCTGCCACCTCTCACCTGGTCTGGCCTACAGGTGACTCCAGGCCCCACAGCAATTTGGTTGACTCTCAACTGCCCTCTGAATTGGTCTAGCAAGCCACTCAGTTGTGCAAATCGCTACAAAGCCTCAAAAGAAATGAAACCTGACGGATCGCCTGGCATTGATCTAGGCACTGGAAAAGATAATGGCAGAAACAGCCCTGTCAACCCTGCAAAGGCCTCCTCACTAACATCTGGGGGGTAGTGCCAAAATTGGGAGAGCTGTCTCACAGACTAGTCAAGCAACAGCCCGACATAGTCAAACTCAGAATCATACCTTACAATGTCCCAGACACCACCATCACCATCCCTGGATATATCCTGTCTCTCACCAGCAGGACAGACCCAGCAGAGGTGGCGGCACAGTGGTATACAGTCGGGAAGGTGTTGCTCTAGGAGGCCTCAAAATTGACTCCGGACGCCATGAAGTCTCATGGCTTCAGGTTAAACAGGGGCAAGAAAACCTCCTGCTGATTATCACATACCGTCCTCCCTCAGCTGATGAATCAGTACTCCTCAATGTTGAGAAGCACAGAGGATAGCAAGGACACAAAATTCACTCTAGGTGGAGGATTTCAATGTCCACCAAGAGTGGCTTGGCAGCAGTACTACTGATCGCACTGTTTAGGTTCTAAAGGACTTAGCTGCTAGACTGGGTCTGTGGCAGGTGGTGAGGGAACCTACAAGAGGGAAAAACATACTCAACCTCATCCTTACTAATCTGTCAGTTGGAGTTGCATTTGTCCATGACAGTATCAGTAAGAGTGACCATCGCACAGTTCTTGCGGAGACGAAGTCCCGCTTTCATACTGAGAATAACTTCCATTGTGTTATATAGCACTAATCATCGTGCTAAATCGGACAGATGTTGCACAGATCTAGAAACTCAAGACTGGGCATCCATGAGGTGCTGTGGGCCATCAACAGCAGAATTGTACTCCAGCACAAACTGTAACCTCATGGCCCAGCATAGCCCCCACTCAACTATTACCATCAAGCCAGGGGATTTACCCTGGTTCAAAGAACAGTACAGGAGGGCATGCCAGGAGCAGCACGAGGCAGACCTGAAGATGAGGTATC